CCGCTCCTTGGGGACGCAGCTGCAGGGGGTGTCCTCCCCGCGGGCGGACACAGGGCCCAAGGAACCCAGGCCCCGGGTGGCTCTGCGGGGCTCTGGCTCAGGCTGGTTCCACGGAACCCGGATCCGTTCAGAGACGAGCCCAATGTTTCTGTGGCAGCAGCGCCTCGGGCAGAGGGAGGGCAGCGGGTCTCGTGCTTTGAGATGTCGGCCAGTTGCTGCAGGGCCCTGGAAAGGAATCCAGCCTTCCCTTTCCCATCGCTGCTCCTGCCAGCTCAAATCCTGGCACCGCGAGAGCCCGAGGAGGCCTCTGCTTCCCCATGGAGCCGGAGCCCCCCTGGGCACACGTGGCGCACGGCCTGACGCGACCCTCTCGCCTGCTCTCTCGGTCAGATCTTTCTCTGGGATCCAGCCACAGGGAATCAGCTCGGCCGGGTGCTCGCTGGCCACTCCAAGTGGATCACGTGGCTGTGCTGGGAGCCGCTCCACATGTAAGTTCTGGGCCAGCCCCCGCCTTCCCCTTTATTTTTAAGGAAAAGAGCAGCTCTTCCTGAAGGGCCCTGCTGCTGCGGCCCGTCCTCATGTTAGAGTCAGGAGAAACGTGTCCAGCACAGGAGTCCCAGCCTCTCCCTACAGTCCTGGCGTGCTCGGAACCCCCTGTCGGCCCATGCCTCAGTTTTCCCTGTGTATAAGCAGGAAAACCTGCCTATGGAAGATGCTCCGTGTTTCCACTGTGCTGGACAGGCGTCGGCCCGAGCTCAGCCCCTGCCCAATGCTCCCTCTCTGCCCTCCTGCATCCTCATTGCTTCTGTCATCTGCTTTATTTATTTGGAGGGCTGATGAACGATGCAGTCGCCTTATCCCTTTGATCAGCCAGAGCTCTGCCTGGGAATGATGAGTGGAGGGGAAAAGTTGCAGCTAATAATCCAAGACATTATAGAAATAAAGAGGGGCCCCTTTGGAGCAGAGCCCTGTAAATTGAATTCCCCAGGAGGAGACTCTGGCTCTTGCAAGCAGTTAACTGAGTTAGTGAAAACTGATTACCCGGGAGGATGAGGAAATGGAGAGGGGGGAGATGGCCCTGCCGCTCTCCTGCACCGAGCAGGGCCGGGTCCCTCCTCGCTCGGCGCTGCCAGTGGGTCGGGTCGTGGTGCCAGTCGGTTCTGAGCCTCCTGGCACTGCGCTGTGCTGCTCAGCTTTGCTTCTTTCCTCAGGATGGTTTTGTCTGGTCTTAAGCCAAAAGAGCGAGTCTTGTATTGACCTTTGGGCACTCGAAGCCTTGTGGGGGACGTGGGCAAAACCCAGATGGGAGCTGCGCCCGCCCTGCGGCTGCCCGTGGTCCTCTGTGCACGCAGAAACCCCGAGTGCCGCTACCTGGCGAGCGCCTCCAAGGACGGCAGCATCCGCATCTGGGACACGCTGATGGGCAGGTGTGACAAAATCCTCACGGGCCACACGCAGTCGGTGACGTGCGTGAAGTGGGGGGGAGACGGCCTGCTCTACTCCTCCTCCCAGGACAGGACCATCAAAGTGTGGCGGAGCCAGGACGTGAGTGAGACGGGCGGTCGCGCAGGGTTGTTTCCCTCCCCGGCGCTGCCTACGCGGGTGGTTTTGCTTCCAGGGCGTCCTGTGCCGCACGCTGCAGGGCCACGCGCACTGGGTGAACACCATGGCGCTCAGCACCGACTATGTGCTCCGCACCGGCGCCTTCGAGCCCGCCGAAGCCTCCATCAACCCCCAGGACGTGAGCGGCTCCTGTAAGTTCCTCCCGCGCTGGCGACTGGGGGAAGCGATGGAAGAAATGGGAGCCCCAGGGAGAGCTGGGGTCTCCTCTCAGTGCTGGTGGCATCACCACGATTCCAAATAGCCCCGTTTTCCCCTTTCCCCCTTCCAGTGGCAGAACTGAAGGACAAGGCGCAGCAGAGGTATGACCAAGTCAGGGTAAGTCCGCACTTTTTGCCCCTCCTGAATTCTATTTTGCCGATAGAAGCACTAAATGTGCCTGGTTGGCTGTCGACCCCACACTGGGTGTGCTTAGACGAGCTCTCCAAGCCTGGCTTGTACAAGACTCAGGCTCTTTCACCCCTCTCTCAGGGCCAGGGGCCAGAAAGGCTCGTCTCGGGCTCCGATGACTTCACGCTGTTTCTTTGGAAGCCGGCGGAAGACAAGAAGCCGCTGGAGAGAATGACCGGCCACCAGGCATTGATCAACCAAGTCCTCTTCTCCCCCGACACCCGGATAATTGCCAGTGCTTCCTTTGACAAGTCCATAAAGCTCTGGGATGGTAGGACAGGAAAGTGAGTGTTTTGTCTGGGTATAGATGTGTACTGCCGACTGACACGGTTTAAACAGCACCTGTGCCAGAGAACACCTTGTCTGAACACCATCACCTTCTGGGTGATGCAGATTCTTTCCTGCAGGTGCAAGGGATGGTGTTGGTGTTTGGATGCCCCTGTAATCCAGGCTTTAGCCTCCAGCTGGACTGTCACTGAGCCCTCTGGGGCAGCAGTCCTACGTTCTGCAGCTGTAATTAGTAATTGGTGACTTAGTGGCCTTCCTAAATCCTGCAGGAATCTGGGCACATGTTTGCTCTGGGAGAGAGACGAGGGACAGGCCTGTACCATAATGCTGCAGTGTTAGGAGGGTTTCTCAGTGGGTGATGTGAAAGGTTTGTCCTCTCGAAGAACTCATCTCAGAGGGCTTCTAGACAGACCAAATCCCAGCAATCGATTGCCTGATGTGTACAAAGCCTGTGCTGGCCCGGGCTCTGCTGTCACCTCGCTTGCTAAGGGCCAGAGGGAAAAGGTGAAGGCCGGGCAAGGCCAGCTTGGAAGGCACTCGGCTGCCCGCTCCTCCGGCAGCTTCTCGGTGCCTCCTTCGTGCCAGGTACGTCACGTCGCTGCGAGGACACGTCTCGGCCGTGTACCAGATCGCCTGGTCCGCCGACAGCCGCTTGCTGGTGAGCGGGAGCAGTGACAGCACGCTGAAGGTCTGGGACACCAAGACGGGGAAACTGGCCGTCGACCTGCCCGGCCACGCGGACGAGGTGGGACGGTCGGGAGAGCGGAGCTGCCGGAGAAGGGCGGGAGTCAGAAATAACAGCAGAAATAACGGGACCTCCCTCTCACTAGGTGTTTGCCACAGACTGGAGCCCGGACGGACAGCGGGTGGCGAGCGGAGGGAAAGATAAGTGTTTGAGGATGTAAGTATCCCACGGTGTCCCTGGAAGAGCAGGATGTTGCAGCCGCTCCGACGGTCCTTCGGAGCCTTGCGGGATTTTGCCTGCAGCGAGGAAGGAGCCTGGGCCCAGCGGAGCAGCCCCGGGCGCTCACGGCTCTTTGTCTTGGCAGATGGCGGAGGTAGGAGCAGAGACCAGGAGCCGGCTCAGCTGGCCCAGCCTCCAGCTCCGTCTCTCTAGGGAGATCTGGGAGGCGACGGAGGACAGAGCCCATCCGAGCACGTCTCCGCGGACACATCAGCCACTCTCCCTCACGGATTCTTTCCTTATATTTATTTAAGGAAATTTTAATTCCATTTCTTACCAAGAGCTGCGCTTTGCAGGCTGATCTCCTCTGAACATTACAGCAGGGATATCTCATCTGCCTCCATCTCAAGCTGCTTTTTATTGAAATTGCTGCCTTGCAGTAGCTTGCCTCCTTTAAAGGGAAAAGCCAAGGGTGGGGGCGGCTCTTTCCTTTTGCCTTAGGAAGAATCCTGCAGGAAGAAAGCCTTTAGTGGGAGCAGAAAAGGGTGTCCCTGTGTGACTTTCAGATGGGGAGAGAGGAAGGGGAAAATGCAGAAAATGAGATTGATAAGGAGCAGAGATTTTATCATCAGGTTTAGTTGCAGCAAGTTAGCATGAGGACCTAGACATCTTCCACAGCCCTCGCACTGTGGTTGATGCTCAGTGGCTAATTCAACTCACACTGGGCATTTGGTGCTCAGGTGTTTCCTAGCTGCAAAAAATAATGTTTTAGGACTCTGTTCCAGCTGGCAGGATTGCTTTGGAGCACGAGAGGGGACGGCACAGTAATGATGTTAAAGGCTATTTGCTCATCTGCTCTTCAAACAGTCCTGTGAGCAAGACTGGGACAAAGGGTTACCCCTTCGGAAGGACTGGGAACACAAATTAGTGGCCCTTTTGGTGGTGTTGATTCCTTTATCCACCAGCTGGATCGGGTGGCTCTCTTTGTGGGTTCTTTTGGGAAGAACTCGATGTGCCGTGTGCCAGAGGCAGAGGGAGCCCTCCTGCCCGCGAGGGCAGCCCTGGCTCCGTGCAGGTGCCTGCAGAGCGGCTCCATCCCTCCTCCTCTCCGCAGCGCGGCTTCCGTGCCCGGCCGTGCTCCTCAGCTCCGTATGGCCTTGCTGCCCCTTCAGACTCTGCTTCTGCAGCTCTGGGCGCTGAATAGAGTCTGGTTAAAACCCAGGTTCCTCATACTGCACCACAAAGCTTTTCCAAAGCAAAATCTTGGACAAAGAGATGGCCTGGAAATAAGTTTGCCCCAAAGCAAGCCATCCCAGCCTCATTCTTTCTTTGACCTGCTAGCGGGTAGATTTTGAGCCCCGCTACGCGATGACTTTGCGCATAGACCAAATTGTATTTCCCTATCTAAGCAGCTGCTCCTATTTTTATCGTGCGTACAGCACCAGCCTTTGTGCACGATGAGTCCTGGCTCCTTTCCCTCTATCCTCAGCAGTCCCCTGCCTGTCCTGCCGTGTGTGTTCGGTGCACACAACAGCGCTGGCCCCGCTCCGCAGTCTCCCGGGTGCACCGGGAGCTTCCATTGGAAGCAGGGAGCAGGGCCGGGCACTGGGTCTCCCTCGTGCTCCTGGCCACGGCAGCGCTGATTAGCTGAGCAGAGCCGTGTTCACAGCTGTGGGTGGACGGTTTTATTAATGTGCGAGACATTACCGCTTCTTTATTAAAATACGAATCCAGAAGGTTAGCTTGACTTTTCTCTCCACATGGCACCTTTCCGGGTAGCTGTACTGCTGACCTTACCAGAATGGCATGTATTGAAATATTCAGACTTTTCCAATGCCGTGTGATACAGATCCCCATGAACGTTGCTGTTTCAGTCCCGTGTCACCCATCTTGTCCCTCATCAGTGCTGCACAGGTTTGCCTGCGATGTGGGCATCAATCTTCATTGATAATGTAAGGACCATTTTAAGCACATCCAGCTCATATGGTGCTGCTCCCAAAATGACCTCTGACGCTTTTCCCTGTAAAAGCTGATACCTCAGGTTGTGCCACCATTAATGCTATGGACATGAGGACAGTGATGATCAGGACCAGGAAGTTCAGCCTTCTTGAGCACCTTCTTGGGTACAACGGAGAGGACAGCATGAGCATCCAGAGTTACCAAGGCTGACCCTGTAACTTCCTTGTTGGCTTATTGCCTGGGAAGATCTTGAGAGGGGGGAAGGTTTGGATGTACAGAAAGAAAACGAATGTCTTTATTATTCTGCATGAGCAGTAGGGAAATCCACATTCTCTCACCTTACATTGGAGCAGCTGGGGACCCCTCAGGTGCAGTTTCTGCCTCAGAAGCAGCTGTTTGTAAAGACCAATAGGTTTGTCAAGGATGGAAGGTGTTGTGGAAACTCGAAGGCTGACGTCGCTGTCCCAAGGAGCTGCCCAAGGAGATGACAGGATGCCTCGAAGCCCTGCGTGCTTAGACGAACAGCCGAGAAGGTGCTAATCTTCTCCCAGATCCATAGCAATCATGAGTCCTGGCTTACAGCTGAGGAGCTAATTTGGCTGAGCCAACATCATGTGGCAGGAGCAGCAAATGCCTCCCCGGCATCGTCACCCCTTGCTTTCCTCTCCCCGACCATGAAGACCAGTGGCCCCTGCTGAGCCACAGGTCTTTGGGGGCTGTATAATTGGGTGGCAGTTATTAGATATTAGTTAAAAGCAGTGCGTGGCCCTCACTGTGGTCTGTTGAGTCCTAGCACTGGCTTTTAAAGGATGCTCTGCTCTTTGTGGCTGCGTCGCATGGCTCTTTGGAGCGTCTCCGCTGGCCTTCATCTTTCCAGTGCCATCCCTCTGTTCCCGCTCGGATCCCAGCGCTCCGGCATCGCGCTTAGTTATTCTGGTCCACCCTCCCCGCTGTTCTCTCCTTGCCGTGCCCAAGCAAAGCTGCTCGAGGGCGCCATCCCCGCTGCGAGGACAAAAGGACATCAGATGCGCTGCTGCCGAAGGGAAACGGGTCCGGATTTTAAACCATAACGCAGAATGGGTGGCTTAGATTTAGAAATTCCTGGAGTGGCTTTCCCAGTTCAAACGGGAGCCATCTGCACGGGTTTTACCTCCTCTGAAATGCAGCTTTGGGCTGGAGATACGTGCCAATGCCGAGAGGATTAACAGCGAGCGTGAAAGTCAGTGGACGGGAATAAGCAGCCAGCTCTCTTGGGGGAAATATTCCCCGAATCAGAATATTTAACCTGGGAGGACTTGTGGGCTTTCTCCTGGATTTAAAGGGCTGCAGTGTACACATGCTGGAAAGACCTTGCAGCACCTTAATTTATGATTAACCCGAAATACTTTTACATCCCATTTACTCTTTCCACAGTGTTCTTCTAAGCTACTGAAATTATTTGGTCAGCTTTGCTCCCTCAGCTTTACATGATGCCTTAGGGTTATGCAGGACTTTTTGGAGGGAGACTCAAAACTTCGGGAAATAAAGGGGGTGGCAGCCTTTTTATTACTATTTATTTCCCTTGGTTCAGAGCCCTTTGGTTCTATGATACAAAACAGATTTCTTAGCGTTTCCCTGATGCTCCAATAGGACTCAAGAGCTTCAAGGGCCCTCCACGGAGCTGCTAATTCTCTTGCTGAGTACTTTTCTGCCCAGATGCTCCAACCCATCCAGAGCACTGGGGACACTGGGTGTGGATTAAAGTCAGTCCGGTTACAAGGAGAAGGAGCTGGCCACGTTTATCCTTCTTCCATTCTGCATATGCTGCTCCATCGCCTCCTGAAGCTCCCCCAGGGCCTGGGCAGTGGAGGTGGCTCCGGTGACCCCCCACGGAACAGGAATGACCCTGGAGATCCGGGAAGGGCTCCCCTGGCGACCACAGCCCCATCCTCAGGGCACGGCCAAGATGGCGGCGCGGGGCGCGGCGGGTAA